AAAAAAAAAAAAAAAAAAAAAGGTGACCTTTACTCTGTAAATGTGGTAGGCAGAATAATGCTCCCTGGGTCCCCAAAGATGTTCATGTCTTAATCCCCAAACCTGTGAATATGTTACCCTACATGGCAAAGGGACTTTGCAGATGTGATTAAGGAACTTGAGATGGGACGTTATCCTCAAGAGTCTGGGTGGACCCAATGTAACCACAAGGATCCGTATAATAGGGAGGCAGGAGAGTCAGAGGAAGATTTCAAGGTGCCGTGAGCCGAGGAAAATGTGGGCAGCCTCTAGAATCTGGGAAGGGCAAGGAAACCGATTCTCCCTTAGAGCCTCCAGAAGGAACCAGGCCTGCAAATAGCCAGTGAGACTGATTTTGGACTTCTCCGCTCCAGAACTGTAAAAGAACAAATCTGTATTGCTTTAAGCCAGCATATAAGTTTGTGGTAATTTGTAACAGCAGCAATAGGAAACTAATACAGTAAATTATACCTCAACAAATTTGACTTTGTTAACATCTGTAAGCTATTTCCAATAATACCTCATAGAAATTGTTGCAGAGATTAAAGGATATAATTTATATAAAACACTTAGTTCATTCCTAGCATTCATACACTTTTAATAAATGGTAGCTATTATTATACAGAAAGCATCTGGATTACTGTGTATAATGGGAATTTTTCATATTAGAATATACATCACAAATATAATATTATACAAGAAATTTCTTTAGTAACCCCTAAGCACTACTTAGTGGCTATAATCTGACCCAATCCAGAAAAATGATTATTTAGATTCCTTCCCTGTATATATATTGTTTGTATGCAAAAGTTATCTGCCCGAATAGTTCCAGATTACTGCTTTTAATTACTGGATTATAAACAGTACTACTCTGAGATGAATCATATCCTTTAAATAGTCTGTGACCACATTGTCCTGCAAAAGAGCTTATGAATCTAAACCTATATTTATATATAATGAACATCTGTCCAACCTGCTTTTCTGGCCCTTTTTTGGGATCTATGTAGGGAACTGGTTCATTGTATGTTCTTGTATTTGTGTTAATGAATTTAGCATAATATACACGTCCTCTCCCAACGCATGGTTTTGAATGTTGTATGCTTTTTCCAGGGTTTTTTTCATGTTTGATTTCTTCTGTTTTTTCAGTTACATACACTATACCAGCATCTTCTATTTTATGCTGCCTGAAAAACACAATTAAATAGTAAATAATTCACCTTGATAACCATTCCAGTACTGAGACATAATTACATAAAATAAGATTTAAATATGTTTCAAACATCAGTCAAGACAATTTAGGCTTTATTAATAGTTATAAGGGTCTGTTCTATAAAAATTTGGTAGGTTATCTTCTAATTCTAAACCATATAAAAGAGATTTGTGTCAATAGTGATTACTCATTGCAATATACTAGTGTAGTGCACCAACTCCCATCCGCTTGGAGTAAAGAAAGAGCAGTGATTTGATGCTTACAAATCATGTTTTCAGTGTTTATGCATGTGGATAAGTTACATGCTAAACTTAACTCATCTTCTTTAAAGTTTTATTACCAAGAGATGGCTTCCCTCCCTCCCCTTACCTAGTAAACAGCCATCTGAATGAGGATAAACTATTTAATTTTAAAAGCTCACCTGGCAAACTTTAAAACTACCAAATAACCACCATTATTTGTCTTTTCAAGAAAAGGCCACTGAGCAGGCAGTAAAAATCAATTCAATTTCATCACTTTTTGCTTCTAGTAACTACATTGCGACAAAAATGAAAATTATTAAAATGAAAAAATATTTTAAAAATGTTTAGAAAAGCTTATCAAATTTTTATTTTAAATGAGGAGAAATAGACATTATAAAAGGCAGTATTTTAAAATTTCACATACTTGAAAAATGAAGAATGAAACATGAATTTGAATACTTTTTACATTAGAAGCTGTTAAAATCAAAGCTGTGACCCCACAGAAGGTGAGTCAATAAGATTCAAATATATAAAGTGGATAGTTCTGGCCTGGCGTGGTGGCTCACGCCTGTAATCCTAGCACTCTGGGAGGCTGAAGCAGGAGGATCACTAAAGGCCAGGAGTTCAAGACCAGCCTGAGCAACAGTGAGACCCCCGTCTCTACTAAAAATAGAAAGAAATTAGCTAGACAACTGAAAATATATAGAAAAAATTAGCCGGGCATGGTGGTTTGTGCCTGTAGTCCCAGCTACTCGGGAGGCTGAGGCAGAAGGATTGCTTGAGCCCAGGAGTTTGAGGTTGGTGTGAGCTGGGCTGACGCCATGGCACTCTAGCCCAGGCAACAGAGCAAGACTCTGTCTCAAGAAAAAAAAAAAAGTGGATAGTTCTGTTTAAGATTTATACACAGCTCTTAAAATATAACCCCTACCTTCCTTCAAAACAAAGCCAGGTCCATCTCTTCTATCATGTCATTTTTTCAGTTAAAACCCTCGAGGGGCTTTCCATTGCATTTATAATATAATACTGTCTCCCAATTGTAGCTCTAAGGTCCTGTGCAACCTGCTCCAGCTAATCTCTTTAACCTCACTCAAGCCTCTCTTTCCACACTTCTGCAGCCAGCCTGCCTTCTTTCAGTTCCTGGAACATACTAATCTTTTTCCCCTTAGGGCATTTGCACGTGCTGTTCCGTCTGCCTGGACAGCCCTTCCCCAGCTCCCGCGACACCGCTGGCTTATATTTAGGTCTCAGATTGAAAGTCATCTCCTTGGAAACTTTTTCTAGATCTCCCTCTCACCATCCTGTGTGTTCTCTATGTTAGTACTTGGTCCATTTTTTTAATAACACTTACCACAGTTTCTATACTTAGTTTTTTGTTTACTTGTTTTTAGTAAACACTACAAATACCCTTTAGTAGTCAACAAGTTCCATGAAGGTGTAGATTGTTTCATTTATCATTATGTACCCACCATCCGGACAAGTGTCCTATTCATCAAAGGTAAATGGACTGTCATTATAATATTTACACATTTCTGGTGAATCTGCTGGAATTCTTTTTTCCCCCTCTGGCTTTCTTTTAGCTGTATACCCTCAAATGTCACTCCAATACACATCAAAACAACATTCAGAATCCTTAGATTCTAGTTCCCTGCTTCCCAAGAAAATTGCTCTCTGTAAAGGATTTGGAAAAACTGATTACCGGTAAAGTGTAAATAACTTCTAAGCCTTTTCTATTACCTTTAATACAGAGATGTAAGTATTTAAAGGTAGAGACTTTGGGGTTAATTAATTTATCACTGTAGACTTCTGGCAGCAGTTTTTTCCACACCTGTTTCTCATAGTTGTAACCCAGCAATACACCTGTACTGGAATCAGGTCCTTGATGAAAGGACTGTGGCTATTTGCTTGCATACTTATGCATTCATTTCATTAAGCACTTGTGATGCGAATGGCTACAGATTGATGCATGAATGTGAAATACATGACTCTAGCAATCTCTTACCTGAAGGAAAACACAGATAAAAACACTAACGGGTTCTGAAGTGAGTCAGACCTGGATTGAAATCCCAGCTGTACCATTTAATATCTGAGCTTTGATCACCTCATTTGCATAAGGACAATAATACCTGTTGTGATAGATGTGAGAATAACACGGAATAATTCATCCTTTCAACAGATATTTATTGAGTTAAATATGCCAGGTGTGTTGGAGGCACTGAAGATATAGCAGTGACAAAACAAACAAAAATTCCTGCCCTCACAGAGCTTACATTCTAGTGGGGGAAGACAGATGAGAAATAAAACAGTATACAGTCTGTTAGATGGTGTTAAGTCCTAAGGACAACAATAAAGCAGGGAATGGGAAAAGGGAGTGCATGTATGTGGGAGGTAGGATGCATTTTTAGGTAGGGTGGAGGCTGCATTGGGAAGGTGGCAATTGAAAAAAGAAAGAAGGGAGGGAGAGAGCTAAGTGGATATTTGACGAAAGGGTATTCCAGCAGAGTGAACTGTAACTACCAAAGCTTTGCAGCAGAAATGTGTCTGTCCTTAGCACAGTGCTTCTCAAAGTGTGGACGCCGGAGTAGCTGCATTGGCATCAATTGTGACCTTGTTAGAAATACAAGTTTACAGGTCCCATTTCAACCTACTAAATCATAATCTCTGGGGCTGATTCCCAGGAACCTGTTTTAACTAGCTGTTCAGCTGATTCTCATACACATTAAAGTTTGAGAACCACTGTTCTAGAGACAAAATTGCAGGCTTTGGAAGCAGGAACCCCTGGTTCCACATCACTCTTAACTAGCTGAACTACTTTGGTTCAATGGTTTTCAAAATTTAGGGTATATCGGAATCACCTGGATGCCTTGTTCTAGCCCAGATTATTTAGCCCCAGCCCCCGAGTTTCTGATTCAGTATGTCTGGGGCGGGGAACCCGCAAGGATATTTATTTCTAGCAATGCTAATGCTGGTCTGAAGCCAGTCTGTGAGAATCGCTGAGATGACAGCAAGGAGGCCCGTGCGCTGTAGCAGAGTCCTGTCAGAGGCAGGCAAGCTGTAAATAAGGTAAGGCAAGAAGGGGAAGGGGCATGTGGTGCAAGCCCCACAGGCCACTATAGGTGCCTTGGCGTTTATTCTACGATGTTCTGATGCACAACAGTGATCTCACTTAGGCGGTAAAGACACTCTGACTGATATAAGGGAAGCAGCAAAGCCACCACTTAGAAGACTATTGCAGCTTCCAGGTACGAGAAGATGGTACTTGGGACGGGGTGGGGGTGATAATAAAAGTGATGAATAGTGGTGGATTCTGGATAATTTTACAGGTAAAGCCTACAGAATTTGCTAATAAGTTACGTGAGGGGGTGGTGTGAGAAGGAGTGGATGATTTCAAAATGACTTCAAGAATTTTAGGCCAGGTTATGCATGTAAAGTGTCTGACACATAGTATGTGCTCAGTAAACGGCGTTTTAACAAATTATTGTAAGCGCTCAGCCACTAGAAATCAGAGGTAGCACGGGGACTGTCTGAGGTTTGGCTTGGACTGTCCGTGTGAGGTCCCATCCCTCAGGTGTCACCTACTCCTCCCACTGAAGGAGGAAAATATTTTTCGAAAGGGGAAATAAAAACCCAAATCCCAGCACTTACTGCTGCTTATCCTCCTCTCCTTCCATGGGCCCCTACGGCCTGGCACGAGGCAGCGAGGAGCCTTCAGGAAGAACAGGAATGCAGCCCCGCCAGGGGAGAGGCGCGCGAAGCGCCGCGACTGTGACTCTCGCGTTGCTAAGCAACGGCGGCCTCCAGGCGCGTCCTCGGAGAGGGCGCGGGGGCCGGACCCGGAGTGCGCAGGCGCAGTCACCCCGGTTGGCTCCGGGCTGGCTATTGCGGTGCGCGATTGCGCCGCAGGGTGGGCCGGAACAGCTGGCTGGGTCTGCAGACGCCCAAGCTTTACACCCTGCGTTTGAACTTGCCCTTCCCCCCGTAGGGCTGGGAGGGATATTTACCAGGACCGACTGGGTCCTCGGGGATCAGCTGGGGCGGTTTCCGGAGCTTCCCCCGCGGTCCTAGGCTCCGGTGCCGGGGGCGGTGCTGCTGGCGTCTCCGCATCGCCGCTCTCCAGAGCCCCGCAGGACGTCGCCCCGGCGCTGCCCCTGCTGCCCCAGCTGGCTCCAAAAGTGCAGGCCGGCAGGAAAGGAACTTGTTTTCTCTTGAACCATTAAATACTGTGCAAGTCGTGATTCGCTGCTCATGGGCTGCCTAGCCTTTGAATGAGGAAGCTTGGCTGTCACAGTTTTCCACCATTTCTGACAAAACCTTCCCCTGGCTGGGCGGCGAGGATTAAAATAGAGCAAGGGAACACTCATCTCCTGCAAATGAGGCTCCCTGTGGCGTGTGCATCTGTTCCAGCCTGAGCGGGGTTCAGAATCGGGTGGCTTAGGCAGCGGGTTGGGGCTTGTACATGTAGCACTTACCCCAAAAGAGCAAGCTCCTGGGAAAAGCTGTTGATGACTTGCGTCCACCTTCTGGCCTTGGAATTTCTTACCTCATTCCACCATTGCCTCCCAATTTCCGCTATCAGAGCCAAACGTCTTTGGCATCTGTCATGGTAACTCATGCATTTCCTTGGATAATGGAAAAAAAGTCCTTATTGAGTTGAATTCTGCTGTCAGGCTCTGCATGTGCCTACGTTTTGTAATCCAGAGTCGGTGTGTATATTTACATTTACCTTGGAGAGAGATGAGAGAGTGGTCCTAGGACTCACTTTACGTATGTGGGCTGAAGTCAATCAGGAAGAATAGAGTATATGAATAGATTTGACACCTGGTGACCTAAATACCTGAGTGTGGAGCTTGTTAAAGACTGGAGTGTGTGTGCATGTGTTATTGGCTGTGTATGTTTGGTGAGTAAGGAGTGGGTGGGTAAACAAACATGGGGAGAGTGGGTTGAAAACCTGAAAGCAGACGGAACTAACATTTATTGTGTTGCCACTTGGGAAGCAGGCATTTATTAGGCACTGTATTAAACACCACATACTTATTTGGTCTTATCCTAACCATCAAACTGTGGTTAGGAGCTTATGTTTGAATGATGGCTCTACCACTTACTAGCTGGTTCACTTGGGCAAATGATCTAACCCCTCTGAGCCCCAATTTCTTCATCCACAAAATGGGGAAAAGACCTAGGTAGTTGTGAAGTTAGATTTAATAAAGACAGAATAATAAGGGCAGTGCCTGCTACTTAGTCAGTGCTTGGTCCTTATTAGCTATTTTATTGAGCAATTTGATCTACACATGCTGCCGCATGTCCTTGAGGTTTAGTCAACTCCCTCATCATTCCCTCTAATATCTATTTCAACCTTGTTAGGACTCAGAAAACAATACCCTAAAATGAAGGCCTCAGAAGCAGCTTCAGAAGCAAACATTTTTCTCTGACCTTTCCTGCCTTCCTGTCTTTCAGTCCCATTGTCCCCGAGGCTAGCCACAGAAACTAGAATCCCTCTTTCCCAAGGTGGGTCATAGAAACTACAGCCTCTTTTCCCCCAAAGCCAGCCATAAAACCTAAAAATATTACTCTAACTTTCCCCTGCATTTCTAGCCATAAAAAAATGATCTGATATACCTTGTTTGACTGTAGGTCATAAAACTCCCATTCCAGAGAGGGCCCTGTCCCATGTCCAGAAGGAAGGAATGCATGCTCAGAGAGACCAAGAGGAATCTAGAAAGGCCTTGCTGGATTTCCCCACTCAGTCTATTAGCATTAGGTCATGCCCTTTTTGTGCAGTCATATTTCTACATGACTGTCCATGCTTTGTTAAACCTAAACATAAAGGACCATTTCCCTTATATCATTGTGTCTTCATTCTGAAGGCTTTCATGTACACATTAAATAAATTTGTATGCTTTTTCTCCTATTAATCTGCCTCTTGTCAGTGATTTTTCAGCCAACCTTCAGCAAAGGGAAAGCTTTCCCTTGGCTCCTACAACCTTCACCAATCTCTTCAAGCTTCTAAAACCACTTACCCTCAGGGACGGTCTCAACTGCTTGATAAGAGGAAATGAGGATGTTTTCTCAACCTTCTCTCCTTAAACCAACAGATTCACCTGCATCCATGCAGAATGAGAATTGTTTGCCTCTGTTTGAGCAATATAGTATTAGTCTAAAATATAAATATATTTATGTCAATCTCTTTCTAACTGTTAAGCAGCTCTGTATGTCTGAGATTTATTAAAGGGTATGAGAAACATTAAAAAAAGAAATTGTGCCTACTGCAAGGAAATCACAATCTAGTTAGGGACATAAGACATACAGAAAATAAGTGTGAGTAAAACAACAATGATACATAACAGCATTATATAAGTGATAGTCACAAGTGTTAAATTTCAATACTGATAATTATTCTTGGTGCCAATTATTCTGGTACATTCTCTGCAGAGTACTACACAATAAAATGGATTTTATAGTAATTATTGACTTTGTATACAGAAAAAGCACTGAACTGCTATTAGTGGTTTTTACTATTATGTGACTTGGGAGAAACACTTAAACTTCTCTGTGCTGTAGATTTTTACTTATAAAAACAGGTAGCTTTAGATAATCTTTATAATCTCTTCCAGGTATAAGTTACAGTGATTCTATGGGGAAATTTATGTCTGAAAAAAATCAATGAACTCACTAGCCTAAATAATACATATAATTTTCTCATTTGTGAAAGGTAGTTTGGATACTTGTCAACAAAGTATAATTCAAAGTAGTTACTAATATTGTGCAAGTTAAAAATACCAGCACTATTTAAGCAAGAACACCATATGTGAGGGAACACAATAAGATGGAAGTTGCTCATCCAAAATGTTATAGATACAGAAAATTGTCAACATTTTTTTGGAACCATAGGAAAATGCCAAACATAAAGAATGGCACAGTTGTATAACCTGATAGGGAAGCTGAGGCTCGGGGCGATCTGGCTTCCTCCCAGTTCTTTCTTCAGTGATGTGCTGGTGATTCAGCTGAGGATCTCAAAAGTATGGCATAAATAAAAGCTAGCCCTAATTTTCTTTTTAAAAAAATAGATAATCTCTTCGCCTCATATACATGTGCTGTGAGGATTAATAAGAAAATGCATGCAGAGGACTTATCCTGGCACATAGTGCTCATTAAAAATTAGCTGTTGGTGGGGTGTTGTGGCTCACATCTGTAATCCTAGCACTCTGGGAGGCCAAGGCAGGAGGATCACTTGAGCTCAGGAGTTTGAGATCAGCCTAAGCAAGAGCAAGACCCTATCTCTACTGAAAATAGAAAAATTAGCCAACTGTCATGGGTGCCTGTAGTCCCAGCTACTTGGAAGGCTGAGGCAGGAGGATTACTTGAGCCCAGGAGTTTGAGGTTGCAGTGAGCTATGATGACGCCACTGCACTCTACCCAGGGTGATGGAGCTAGACTTTGTCTCAAAACAAACAAACAAAAGAACCAAAAAGTTCGTTGTTAGTATTCTTCCTATTTTTATTAGTAGGATAGAACGTTCATTATATTCATGCATTACATTGTCTTTGTTTCATTGCCTTAGACTAAAAAATTTTATCAAACCGAAAGCATTAATTTGAGGGCAATGGAAACGAGATATGTTAGTGTTAGGTTTGCCTATCTTTGAGGATTGATAAGTTCAAATAAGTCACAGAAACAAAAGAGACCCTGAGTTTTCCTGTGGTCTAAGTTCAAAGCTAATTGATTTATATTACACTTTTAAGAGAGACATATGACAAAACAAAGTATGAGTTATATTTCCTAAAGGGTGAAAATTCTAGTGTAAATCATATAGATCACTTCTGATATAAGTGATCATGGATATATGCATGGGTATGCTTATATTGATTGATATAGGTGTATAAATTAAAATCTTAAAAATGTTACGAGACCTCTTGAAATAAATAATTACAGACAACCTGGGTTACTACAAAATCATTGTTAGAAATCACTAGTTTGGAAATTTACCCAATTGAATGAAGAAACCTATATTTTATGAATTTGGAGGGTCCTAACTGCCTGTATGATTTCATGATTCAAGGTTCATTTTAAAATAATCCCAACTATGGTTGCCTATATAGAATTTATATGACCAAAGCATGAATGAAAAGCTGGCCTTAGGTGGGGAAAGCAGTGAAGGGCCATTTTAGTGCCGTAGTGCTCATATAGTAAAGATTGGTTGAAGGAATAGTTATGAAAACTTAGCTTCTTGAGGAAGAAACATTGCTAAATGAAACATGGCTGGGGTGTTACCACTCTCAGAAGGTTAGGAATCCCTAGTCTAAGCTATCTGGTTTTGAAAGTTTTGTGTGTCTCCTAGCTTCTTTTTAAAGCTATTTTCCTTGTTCTATTTGAGGAATTCCAGAGATGTGATCATCTTCCTTACAGGCCATTATCGAATCTTACTATCTAATTGTTGAACATATTCTAGCCTATATTCTATATAGGCTATATTCTAGACTATTATCACGGGAATGTGAGATTTTATTCGTTTGAGATCCCCAGCACCTAAAAAGTACCTTGCAAATAATAGCTCCGGTGAATGAGATAGACCCAGAAAAATCCTTCCTTATAGCCTATAAAATATATAGTACTATTTTTTATTTTTAAATGTTTCTTATGAACACAGATAATAACTGTTCAACATACTTCTTAG